TTTGTGAAGCGCTATGAGATGACTTGTTGTAAATATGCGCTATATAAATAAAATTGAATTGAATTAATAATGTTGTAATTAAAATGACTGACTGACTGACTGACTGTAACGCTGCAGCTCGTCCAATGGTCTTACATCATCCACGCCGCCATGTGCTGACGTTGGTCGGTCTGTGGCAGCGTCATGACGCACTGCGTTACGTACCGCACGTGCAGCGTTGCACAACCCCGGTGCGTGACGCCTCGGTTGTGTCCCGCACGTTGACATTGGGACGGTAACCTGCCGGAGGACCGCTGCTCGGCTCGCTTCCCAAACAGGTTAGTTGGTTCTGTCGCCTGTAATGTTTGGACCCGAACGTACGTTAGATGAGGAGACGGAAGCCGGCGAGGCGTCCTGGATAAAGGATTAACAAGTTCAAACAGCGCTTAGATTAAAAGTATAGAAGACGGTCAGCACGCTAGCTAAAGTTAGCATAGCTGCTGGTAGCCTGCCTAATAGAAGAAGCTGTAGGGATTAGCATTAGGCTAGTAGCTGTAACCCAGTCAGGCTCAGGTGTCGTTTGTCCTGTTTGTTCTGTTTGGATCTCAGGTAAAGTCGATAAGGACACAGAGGTGTTGAATCAGGCTATGCTACTGCTACTAGCTTAGCCGATACATGCTGGTAGCCGTAGAAGCTAACTGTGAGGTTAAACGAGGATAACTTCAGTCCAGTCAGCAGTTAACGCGCATCTTACGTCGTAGCGACATGGGGTCGTTTTAAAATAAAACGGCGACTAGTACTTGTTATCCTCACAACATGACACCTAGTTAGCTTGTGTTGTGTAATTAAATGCTCGTAAGACACCTTGAAGTTCCTCCGAGCCTCCTTTGCTGCTTACTCAACAGACCCTGTCAGTGTTACATGTCACTGCTGTTACACGTGAATAACTGCTAGAATACATACATATACCTGCTGTCGTGGTTTAGGTTACACGGATGCTATTCTTTGTCCAGGATGTAGTAATAATAATAGTAATAATAATAGTAATAATCCTATCACCTCCCTACAGCCTGCTATCAGCATCATCACCTTATCACACCTTGACGTGGTCTATGGCTCTTATCCAGGTTGTTTTCTCCAGAGTAGATCCTTGCTGGTGTTGTACCTGCTCTCAGATGCACGTCGCTTTGGATAAAAGCATCTGCTAAATGAAACTGTAGAATTGTAGGGTCATTTATTTCTCCTCCGACTTGATTTAAGTACTTTGAATTATTAGTCTGTCTGATGAGCGATAAGATCAGCTCAGAAGACACTGAGCTGAATACAGCTTGTCAACTGTGTGATTATGTCAGTGTGTTGTGTTTGTGTCCATGCCAGACAGGTCAGGATGGGAGCCTCCGTGTCCACACCTGCTGCTCCCACGGTCAGGGCAGAGGCCATGATGGCCGCCCCGCCTCAGGGCTGCCCCATGCACCAGGAAGCTCAGCCCGTCAAAGGTACAGCAGTGGTAGTGTCAGTATTAGTATGACGTATAGTGTGTAATAAACATGACTGAATCTTCTGAACACACTGTAATATGACTCTCTGTCTGTCTCAGTGTCGCCACCTTCAGAGTGTCCCATGCATCAAGCTCAGCCTGTTGCAGGTAAACAAGTGCTGAGGGACCAGCAAGACAGTTACCTGTCATCATGCTGCATTATTCACTTCAATAATAAATTACATTCAGTTGTGTGACAGATTGAATTGTGGTCCTCATTGTCTGTCTGTCTCAGTGTCGCCACCTCCAGAGTGTCCAATGCATCAAGCTCAGCCTGTCAAAGGTAGGTGTTTCAATTCTAAGGTCCGTTTGTTAACCAGGTTGTAGTATACCTGGGCATTATTCAGTAATATACAAGTTCAGCAGACTCTCTTTTCTTGACTGGTCGTATTGCTGGCCGCCGTTCCTCAACCAGGTGTTCTTGTCTCCTGCAGCGTCGCCTCCAGCAGAAGCAGGTCCAGTCCACCAAGACCGGGCCTACGAGTTTGTGGAGTGTCCCATGAAGGGTGCAACGGCGGGCATGAAGAACGACATCGATCCGGCAAATATGGTACCGGCACCACTTTAATGAAGTACAGGGGTGGTGGGTGGACAGGGAGAGAGAGGGTGAAAGTGGAAGTAAAGAAATGCATAATCTACAAGATGTTGATGGACTGCAGCTCACAAAACAAGAGAGAACATTTACACTGTTGATGACAGAATGTAATAAACACACACGTTTTATCTTCGAGTTTAGTGAACATCAAATCATTTTTATATAAAAAAAATTCTAAGGTGATACAATTTTTAAACTTCAAACTTATTTGAAACATACAACCTTGCTTTCCAATTTTTAAATGTTGTTGTCTTTGAACCTAAAAGCAGTAGTGGTCGTACTTACACCAGACATTTACTCTGGGCGTGTGTGCTCCTGGAGGTGGCCTTTATGCTGGTGATCATATTGTATGTACATCTTTTCCATGTAATGTTTTAACACCGTTTTAAAGGTCACAGTGTAAACTGTGTTGCTGGTTTATCTCTTGTGTGCGTGCAGATGCCTCCTCCCAACCAAACCCCATCTCCAGACCAGCCCTTCGCCCTGTCCCTGTCCAGAGAGGAGTCCACCATTCCCCGTCACGGTGCAGAGAAGAACTGGGTTTACCCTTCTGAGCAGATGTTCTGGAACGCCATGCTGCGGAAGGGGTCAGTCCGTACTCTGTGAATTTGTAATAATTGAAGTGGCCTGCTTTGTGCCCTCTGTGTCCAGTCACACCTGCAGACCTGTAGCCAGGCTGCCGTGGTCACCACATCCAGCATCACTAAACACTGTCTATCAGGACATTTACAAAACTACAGAAGGTGATATTTGTGTTTTTTATGCTGGAAACTATAACATGAATTGGCTGCTCAGGTCAGTAGGTCAATTTCCCATGAAGGATTTGTTGTTATTACTCAACAGAACCAAAGCTAATCAGGTGGGACTCTCCCACCGGGGCTGCATGATGGTATAATACAGACTGAATCCCAAAGCTGTGATCTCCAGTGGCATCAGAAACAGGCTCTTCTTTTTATGAAGCTCACACAGAGTAGCTCTGGTAACTTGGTGTGTTGTAGTTCACAACTTGCGCCTCCAGATGCCAGCCACGATGCAGGCAGCTCCAGGAGCAGGCTGGCAGCACTTCAAACCCAGCATCTCAGGAAGTGTTCAGCACAACGGGGACCACAGTTGCCCTGCAGTGTTTCATCTAAAGCCCGACATAGAAAATCCTCTTTGTCTTGATGATCAAAGCCACCAGATACCGACTAAACCACCGGATGGTCCACCACTGGTGTCTGGTTTACACTGAGGATTTAATCAAGTACAAGTAGTGAAGCTGTGTTGTCTATTTTTCTGTCTTGTTTAGACACTGAACTAACCTGTGCAGGTAGACACTCTGGATAGAGATCACCCCTCCATCTCTTTCCCCTGTGCTGCCTGCATGTCGGTGGATCTTGCTGGATCAGAGCTCTATGGACCATTCTGAGCCCCTTTGTTTGCAGTTTTCAGAGCCACAGCTGTGAATGAACACGTTTTTTTCCCCAGCGTGCACTCACAGTGGAAGAGCAGCAGACCGCTACGAGTCAGCAGAAACAGTTTATTAGATTATTACTACCTGCAGCCGCCTTTACCTGAGCACCATGTATCCATAGTGCTGAGTCAAAGATACCTTTACGGGTGAACAGTGATGTCTGGTCATTCTGTTAATGGCCTTAACCTTCATTCACAGAGCTGCAGCATGATTGGGTTGGAAGCTGCGACTGTCATACATGTGTTGTTCTTTCAGTTACACACCTTTATATACATGATAGTTGTTGGTGTCCAGGCATTGCTGGTAAATGCCACCAGTGTGTCAGTAAGTCCTTGTTTGCTCCACAGCTCCTATCAAGAGTATTCTGGAACTTCCTGATCACGCAGTCCCACAGAGTAGAACTTACCTCATGCCCTCCTGGTTCTGTTTGTGGCTCAGATTTCCATCATCATGTGCTCTTTGTTTCTAACTCTTCTATTGTTGTGAAATGTGACTTTAATTGGCTTAATAGCCGAGTGCATAGTCGAGACATGAACTCAACGAGTCAAGCTGCACAGTGACTTTAGATGAAACAGTGGCGCTGAGTCCTGTTTGTTTGGTTCTGTGCTGCAGGTGGCGCTGGCGTGACGATGACCTCGCCGCTCAAGACATGACCAACATCATTCACATTCACAACCGGAACAACGAGCAGGCCTGGCAGGAGATCCTGAAATGGGAAGCTCTGCACGCAGCGTGAGTCAAACCAGCAGCATCTTTCTGTACCCGTCAGCATCGGACTGCACAGTCTGCACTCTCCACCATGTGCCTGCCAGTCAAAGAACTGACATCGATGAATGTTTTGTCTTGCAGTGAATGTCCATGTGGGCCAACCTTGAAGAGGTTCGGTGGAAAGGCCAAAGAGTTCTCGCCCAGGGCCCGCGTCCGCCACTGGATGGGGTGAGCGCCTTCACACGGTCTCTGCTCGGCTTTAGTTAGAACTTCCACTGCTTTGTGGCATCGTTAGAAAATACAGGAAAGGGAAATCTACGTTTTCTTTGCCATGTCAAACATGAACAAGAAAACCTGCAGGCAGCAACCTGCCACCCTGACAATGAGAATAAAGACTGGGGACAAGCAGTAAGCAGCTCACAGCTACATTTACCTTTTAGTCACAGTGATCATCTTCCCGCACACTTAGCCCCGCCCATGACCACTGATTGGTTCAAAGAAATACAAACATGTCAGAGCTGCACCATAGCGGTGAGGTGGGCTACAGAACGGACTGGGTACCACCTCAACTCCAACATGTCCACAACTAATGCTTTGTTTGAGTTCTGGTGTAAAACGAGAATGTTTGGTAGATATCATTTCAAAAGGGAAAGCATTTTACTGAATTAAAGGAACAACTTGTTGAACATGCAAACTCCACACAGAAAGATCCAGGCAGAGATTGGAACCCAGGACCTTCTACAGTTCTGGGCCCTAGTGTCAGAAATAGTAGCCCTTAATAACGAACAAAGCTAATTATGATCGACAGGTTTCCTGCTATCAGTCTGTTCATAAATACATGAGCGTGTATGTTGGTTATCAGCCTTCTGTACTGATGAGCCACATGTAGAAAGAATTCACGCCTGCCTGAGGCGCACAGCGGGGCAGGACGAGCTTCCCCGTCTTACTGCGTTGTTGGTTGAGAACCGTGACCTTTGTAGGTTCAGTCAGTCGCTGGTCGCTCTGTCCCGATGGGAAGCTGACTGATCACTGGATCGGATGAATTAATGTGGTTTATGAGACACTTTCCAAATGTTGAGAAATACGTCAAGTTATTTTAGACGGGTGACTCAAGTCATAAAATCTGTTTTCTGAAACATTGTTTGATGTCTGTGTGCAGCTATGAACTGCCTTTTGACCGCCACGACTGGATCATCGATCGCTGTGGGAAGGAGGTCCGCTACGTCATCGACTACTACGACGGTGAAATCAACAAGGAGACCTACCAGTTCTCCATCCTGGACGTACGCCCTGCCTTTGACTCTTTAGATGCTGTGTGGGACCGCATGAAGGTGGCCTGGTGGCGCTGGACCTCCTAGAGGCTCCCACACAACCTGGTCACAAACATACACATACAAAGACTAGTCCACTGTTGTTCCTCATTTCAGCTCTCTGCAACACGTGTGCTTGTGTGAAAAGAAGCAAACAAGACCCAGAAAATAAACAGAGCGACTGTTAGCGTTAGCAGAAGCTCACACAGTCAGGCTGAGTGAGCGCGTTTCTGAACACAATCTAATTTCAGGCTTTGTAGTTCACAGCTTTATAAAACAGCTTCTCAAACTTAGTGGAAGTGTTTGTCTAACAGGTCACATGTGAGTCAACCCGCTCAGCTGAGCCCCATCGTTCTGCTCAGTCCTGAAGAGCAAACGGTGGCGTTCATACGTTCTGTGTCTCTGGAGGGAGTGTGAGAAGCAACCCTAATAATATTATAATTATGGCTGTTATCAGAGCAACAAAGGAGTCCTCCAGCCTCTAACTTCTGGTCTGTGTTGACTGACACCTGCTGCCTGGGATCAGCTACAGGTCCAGCTAGTGGACTGAGTGGCTACCAGCCAGGAACAGAGACCAGAAGTTAAAGGGCAAATAAAAGAAGGTACACATGGGAACAGGGGTGGGTACGTTGTGTGTACCATGTGGGAGGAGGGACTCAATGAAACCCTGTCAGCTGTGAAGTCTATGTCACTGTTTGGACCTCGACGGTTTTGCTCCTTTTCATTTCATCCATGTAGGTAGAATCCTAAATGATCTGCGGCCCCTTTTAGGTTGAGAGAGATGACGTGGAGTTGTTAAATCAACACGTGTTTGGGTCAGTGTTTCACTGTTAGAGGTTTCTTCTCTCCAGCTTCATCTGGTGACACTGACAATAAAACAGAAACCCTGATTAGATTAATCACATGGATTAAAACGGTTCTTGTAGTTCATCTGGAATGAATCTACCTTAGAAACTGGTTTAAAAATGTTTTGCTTAAGAAGATATATTTTTCTTTGGACAAGTGTGGCTTATATTTGTGTACACTGGTCACACAGCTATGGTCCTGATATGCTCCTAATCACTCCGCTGGAAGGCTCTGGGTGTGTTGAACCTGGCGGTGAGTTGGGGACATAAAGATGCCTTCATGGCTACACAGTGACCTGTTCTGCAAACCGACTCCCTTCCACCAGTCTGACTCGTTGGCGCTGTGCAGCGACTGCTGTGGCCGTCCACCCTGCTGGGGACGGTCTGGTGGATTCCTTTGAGAGCTGTGTGTTGGGTTATGGGCGTGTTCTGTAGACAAACAGGGTATATTGTTAGGATGTCGGCCCTGCTGCCCCTCACCAACCCTGACTTTCTCAGTTGGACATGTGGCAGAAGACAGTAGGTGATCAGGAGATGAATGAAAAGGCGTCTGATTGGCTGAAGTTCTTCATCGTTATGTTTTGCAGCATTCTTCACACGCCGTAGTGGATAATTTCAGAACTGGAATAGTTTGAAATATTTAGTGTGACATTTCAGATGCATCTTCTTCAGAGCAGACAAATGGTTTGGGTGGGCTGCTATCCATATTTTTATTTATTGTTGGATGAATAAATGTGCAACCTGTTTCTGTGGCCAGACAGAATCTCAGTGCTTCTGTTTTCAGAAAGTGTTCTTGTGTCTAAAAAGATATTTTACTTGTTTAAAACCTCTATTAAAGACGGTCTTCTTCTGCCTCTGAATATGTGTCTCTCTGGGAAACTACACTGATCAAATACACAAGAAACTAAATGCTGCATGTCGACCAGAGCCGGCCAGCTGGGTGACGCTGCAGGGAGACGAACCGAAACAGGAAATGCTTTGTCTTCACAGCAAGTTTCTATTGGTCCAACTTTGTGGCCCAGCAGACATAAGCTGCATGTGATGGACAGGTGCCAGGTGTGGTTGGAGGCATTGTCTAAGCTACAGGATGCTGCTGGACTGGAATAAACCATATACTGTGTTAACAGCGCCATCTGCTGGACACAATGTGCCATTTCCCTTTGGTTCACGTGTCAGTGGATTGTTTCAGCCCTACAGAACCACATTTGTCTTTCACAGAGTTTTTAATAAAGCAAGCAAGCCTTATTTATGGTTTCCAAAAGGAGGTTGAAATGAAGCAAGCTGACACTGGTACAGCCCTCAATCAACAGAGTAGATGTTGTAAGAAGGCTGCCCTGAGATGTTCTGTTTCATAGCTGAGATGCATCAACAAAAGCCACAGTGAGGTTCATGTTCCAGTCTCTGTTATGAACATAGAAGACGGTCTCCAGAGATCAGAGGGGCCTGACTATGTGCTGCCTCATACAACGAGAATTTAGATGTATAGTCCATCCTATAGGGAGCTAGTGACGAGGAATACGACACACTGGACTGGGAGGTATACGTTTAGGTCTGGATCACTCCATCAAAAACAACATGACTTATTAAATAAATAGTTTAGGCCATATGAAAGTGTTTTGCAGTGCAGTTTTCAAGCTGGACACTAGAGGGGAGTGTTTCTCTAGAACTGGTAGCTTCATGTGGCCCAGCGTGAATAAAACCTCATGATCTTCTAACCATTTCCTGTTACTGTTACTAGCAAATCAATAGCTACCAGTTTTCATTCTGCCACCCGGACGCTGATGACTGATGACTGATTTGCACTGTGTTTTACTGTCAGACAGATGTTTAGAGACAGATGTTAAACCAAAATGTGAGAAAACAAACTGACAAAACGGAGAGGAATCCACCTTCAAACACTTCTTGTCCTGCATTTGTTTATGATCAAGTGTGATAATTCTAGAAAGAACAGAGAAATTAATATTATGGCAAAGAAGGAGACGCAGTCCAAATCCAACGTCAGACCCGACCAGGGTGGCGACCCCTGTGAGCAGTCAGTGTGTCTGTTAAAGAGAACATCTCAAGTCTCTAACAAACAGACTCCTTGCTGATAAGCTCCTCCTACTTTACAGTTTTTCTTTAATCAACCTTAATCACCACACGCCCATCTTTACTTCTGCCAACACCGTTTAAATGCTTTGCTGGACCCAATGGGAAGCCTCACACAAGCAGGATAAGTCATTATAGCAAACTCAGCATAATTTGCCCTCTTCTTCATGTTGGTCACCTTAGTGTGGTCCTCCCAGGAAGTAGGAGGTCTGACAGAATGATCAGCACCTAGTTAGAACTGTTGCACCAACAGTTTCTGGAACTTCAGCTGCTCTCCTGGGTTGTGCTGTTGCTAGCAGGCCAGTAGAAGTGGTCCTAGCAGCTGATGCCGGCTTTTCACCGACCCTGACAAAAGCAGAAACACCTGCTATGGCTTTAAAGACTTGGCTGTGGCGCCTGTAGTAGCAGCCCTCGGCCAGAGCTCTCAAACACTCAGTGAGGATGTGCTTCGAATTCCCTTTGGTGTTACCATCCAGCCTCTAGGGTCAGCTGGGTGGAACAAAAGCCAGCTGTAGTTGGCTGAGGTAAAGCATTTTATTGCTCAGTGATGTAATGAACACAAAAACCCCAGTGACAATACAAAGGAAACCACTAGTGGGTGCTGCTAAATCCAATGAGCCAAATGAAGGCTAACATAGGAGAAGGAACTAGCTAAACAAAAACAAAGAAACTTCCTAACCAAGCTTCAACCCAACAGCAACGCCAACCCCTAACGAAAGAAACACAACAAATGAGTGCCTGAAGACACACATTAGAAAAAACACAAGGCATGAGTTTCTCCTGAACTCAGTTGGACAGCCGCTAGCTGGAGCTAAAGTCTTCACCAAGTCATGGCTAACTCCCATGCTAAGCTAGCAGTTGCCACAGGAAAGTTCACACAGAAAACACCAAGACACCAAAACAAGCAGCACCAGGATGAACTGTTCACTTGAAGTCCGAGCCGCCATGACTGTGAGGTTGGTTGTGGATTTAAAGCAGGTGTGGTGATCACTGCAGTCTGGTGGGAGGAGGAAACCGGGTTGTGGACCAATCAGCCAGATCGGTGGGTGGGGAGAGAGCAGGGCTGGAGCTCCAGACCAATGATCCCTGATTTCGGCCAGGTGGGGTCTGGAGCATGGTCTTCAGCCAGCTGTAGGCAATCTATGCCAACATTCTGCCCACAGAGGCCACAATGGACACAACACAGGATGGTGGTCCACTGACCCCTCAGCCAAACAAGCTGGACTGGCTCGGTACAACAACAGACAGTCTGGATCGAACACCTGGCCCATGAGACCTTGAACTCCACCACTCTCTTCCATCTTGTTCAGGCTCTAACTGTCCTGCTGACTCACTCTTCCTCAACTCATGCTTATCCTGGATCACTGCACTTTTGTAGGAAGGTACAGGGCTGCTCCTCATTCAAGTCTTTCCATGAGACACTGCAGCCACCGTGTGCCTTCATCATGACTTACCAATATGTTCAGCTTCTCCTGCTCCCTACCTACATCCAGCGACCTCAGTATCAGCCTGAGGGACTGGTTCGTTGCAGGACTCTCACCATAGCTGCTCCCCCTAAGATGACAAACTGTGTTTTTATGATGTGTTTCAGTGTGTCATTGTTTGTCAGTTCATGAGGATTTACTGAGAGAAACTTTAACCTCAGCATCCTCATACACTGACACTGCTACAGACTTTTCAGGTAAATCCACAGGTGCTTTAGAAGTGCTTTCTCGTCTGTCTCAATCGATCCATACCGACTCACAGACACGTGTCTCCCCAGAACCCCCGTTGTTCTGCTTACAGGTCCAGGTTTCAGACAGCTGTCTAAGCCACACAAATCTCCTGCTTCTGGGATGAGATTTCTGATTCCCCCACTTCCTGTGTGGCAGCAATAAAATCAGTGAGGCCACTTTTTGTTCTGCTGAGGCTAAATAACAACTGCTTTTATCCATCGTACTTCTATGCATCAGTCATCCTGGTGAGGACAGTGTGTCGACTGCTCTCCTTTCAGCTAATTCAGACATCTGGTCATCCTGAGGACAGAGACAGTGAAAGAAGGTCACAGTCAGTGTGGATTAAATAGATCGAATGCTTAAAGAAGTGCTTATGTTTAATGTGCACTCCCAGTAGGTCTCGGTAAAACGTGTTTGCCCATATTCAGACTTACTCATAACCATCTAATATGTTGTTGGCAGGTGCACTGGATCACAAACTCTTAACTGGTAGAAAACAAACAGGAGGATTGTACATTTCATTCATTCAAGTTTGTATGATTTATGAAGGTGAGTCCAGGTGATGGACAGTGTGTGGTGTTCTGTGGTATCTTAACCGTCCATCATCTTATTCATTGTTATACTTGAAGTGCTTTTCTTTTTGTCCTCAAGTGCCTTCAGACAACCCTAAAAAATATAAAATAAGCACCAACTCAGTGCTCTGAGTGCAAAGTGCACATATGGCTGCATTGAATTTCTGATCAGCTGTGGGTTATTCATGTAGGTGGATGGAGCAGGAGCTGAAGCACAGTGAAGGCGGCGAGCACAACATGTCTTGTGGCTGCTGCATTGCATTCTGGTCTATTAAGGCTCCTTCAGCAGAGAAGTCCTGCCTGTATGATTGTTGAATGTCAGCATAACTCTGTTTAAATCTAAGGGGGGCTGACACCTGACATCCATTTACCATCCATGTTGAACACAACAAGGTGTTCCAACACGACGTCTCTTCGGCTGTAATTGGCCAGTCATCCGTGGGAATAAGGCAAAATGGATCGAGGATGCATCATACACTACCAGTTGCTCTTTTGGGTGGATTTCTCCTTTAAATACAGACTGTGTGGGTTGACCACAGAGCCATGCGTATATTGCCTGAAGTAATGTGTGCATGTTGATTTCCCATGTGTTTCAGGGAGGCCAGATAGCTGCACAGCACACAGCAGATGTCCAAACAGCCGCTGGCATTCTGTGTGAAAGTCAGATATTTTATCATATCTGCTCTCTGCAGTTCCCATTTCCATACCAAAGAAGGGCCTTTCTAGCACTCGGTCTGCCATGGGCCACCCGCTACCCCACCACCAGCCATTAGCCAGCTCTGTGCACATGTCTGCTCGCTATCAGGAATCATCTTGTTAGAGACAGACGCAGCTCTGTTTGCTGTTTTACATCAACAGGGCATGTGTGCCGGCTTATCAACTAATCAGCGTTAACATTCAATCATTCAAATGTCTTTGTGTGTGTGTGTGTGTGTGCAAGCTTGTGTGGTTGTTGGATACCAAGGTCAGCTCTCAAATGTTTCAGCCTGAGCTGTTAGTTTTGGTCTTTATCGATGTAAATCTGTTGGAAGTGGAGGGTCTGCATTTGCTTTCAGGTTAATCTTAGTTATTATGATGTGGGTATGTTAAAGCCAGGTTAAGTAAAGCAATTAAAGTCAGTCACAAGGTGGGATCTTTGATGCTTCGAGGACAAATGCAGCGTGGGAATATGGTGCAAAGCTCCCGACCGGCACCATCACCTGGAACATGAAAACAAGTTAGCTTTGTGCCAAAAGGCAGAAAAAACCTTCAGATTGAGATGAGCTCATCTCGCTCACATTTTTTATGAACAAACTATTATTATTATTTTTGTATGAACAGCTGCTCATGTGTCTATGTGGGATGTAGAATGTTGCTTATAGTGATGAGCCCACAGACGGTTATCTGGGTTGTACTCACTTTAATCATTACTGTAGACACCTTAGTCCTGTGTAAGTGCATAGAGCTCTATCAGGGACTACATCTCTTGTGTAGACAGCTGGACTG